GTTCGATCCTCAGCAGAGTCGCCAGAGCTGTCACACTTCTTTTTTCCGAGGAATAGGGAGTTTTTCTAATTAAAGTGACATTATTCAAAAGAAAATTATTTATTTTTATTAGAGTCGTCACTTGGAATATTTGTTATGGTGTCCCAAGTTACTGGTTTATTTTAAAATCCCAAATCGAGCAAATTGACTCTGAATTATGATCCGCGAATACAAAAGACCAGGTAAGGAAGTCTGTTAACCCGGAGAAGGTCTGAGGCACTCTCGGATTCCGTAGTTTTAGAACGGTTGCTTTTAACCATACTTGGCTTAATTAATTATTTAATTACGTATTTTTAAAACCTATGTGTGTCTTACCTTTTACCGCTTTTAATTATGGAGCTATGGAATTATCTTGAAACGAACTACGTGTGGGTGAATCCATTTCGTTTAGTGTGCCAAAAATTATGTCACGCATACATGTACACAATTAATAACACTTTATTAATATTAAGACTGTTTCGCCTAAAGTTGCGCGAACGCATACCTTGATTTATTTTGGGAATCATAATTATGTCAAGCGAACGTGTACACAATCACGATAGTAAATTAAAAGCGCGCCTAAAGCAAACTACGGTATTTTTAAAATAAGAAAGAAAAATTGATCACTTCACTAGAGTTGGAGTTGGCATAAGGAGGCAGCGTTATAGGATTTATTTGTGAAAAATGGAATAAGCCTTGGCTAATAAGTGGCGAAGCTTGTATACTACAAGTATCCAAAGTTCCGGCAATTCATAAGGGGCAACTACAATTACTAGAGAGTAAGGGATTGAAATTACTTTGACTTAATAACATGTTCAAAGCCTTAAAGTGATTAAACTGATTCTGGCCTACTTAAGCTAACGTGTCTTTTAAAAAAGGTGACATTTTTATAACATGGACAGGACATGGGGTTGGCTTGTGGCTCTACTGGATGGGTCGGCTCTTTGTTGAGCCCAATCAATTAACATAATTATTTTTCAATATAATTAGCAAATATAAAGAATAACAAAATTAATACAGACTTTCTTAAACATTAATACATGAATTTTCAAGCTAAATCCTACAATACTGAAAAGAACAAAAGGAAATAGTTCAAATTCTCACCCGTACTAATAGACATTTCATGAATCAAACACCTTCTATTTTCTAGGCCTAAACAATATTACAACATATAAGCTTTGAATCATTAAACCATAAACTCTACATATTTTTTACTTCAAATTGAAACCCATGATGTAAACTTCACCCTCATATGTGTAAAGAAACGACAGTAGTAGGCATATTCAATTCGAAACTTCATAGCTAACATTAATGCCTGACTAACAGTGGTTTTACAACAGGGTGAGTGAGCAATCAATAGCAACTAGTCCAATTAGTGAGTAATCATAGCTTAACTATTCAACTCAAACAAACAAATGTAATTAGCTACTCATCGAGAAACAAAGATGAAACATATTTCACATTCAAACAGCAGGAACATATAGAAGTAGACATGGTCAGGGAATCAATATATCAAGTTTTCATTTCTATACTCTAACAAAAGTTTGCATATGGAAATTTACATACCTATAAGCAAGAAATAGTCAGTAAATGGCCAAATAAAGGCTAAAAACCGGAGATTACGCTCATCAGACTCAGAAACCAGCAGCAAGTAAACAGAAAACCAACAATGAAATCCCAGAATGAACCTCGACCTCAGTTCAAAATTATCTTAAGAAGACCAAAGTTGATGAAGAAAATCAAAACTTCTAAAACCTATGTGAATGAGTGTATATCTATGAAAAATGTAGAATTCATGTGTGTTTTTGTTCTGGAAAAAAATGCAGAGAGATGTTGAGAGGAGAGTGAGCTAATGAAAATCGGTATTGTGATGTGTGTGTCCTGGTAAAAATGCAGGGGGGTCCCTTATATAGAATATGAGGGTATACTCTATGAGAGAATGAGAGAGGGCCTAGGAGAATTCTGCCAGCCTCCTAAAAATTAGGGAAATAACATCTTTTCTTAACAAAAATGGACAGATGTCCAACTTTTCAGATATTCTTCCTATTTTTCAGCATCTTTTCTAACATAATTTGGTACAGTTGTTCTTTTCATATATTCTTCTCTATTTACAGCCCCCTAAAAATCTGAATTTGATACTTTTTACCCAAATCTGACCTAATTTCTTTGTCTTATTGCACTTTAACCCCTCTCTAGAAGCTTCTTACTCAACTACTCAAGATTCCTAATTTTCTTACTTCTTTTAACACCCCTGGTATTTTAGTAACTACAAACAGCTATCACAAAAACTTAGATGGATTAAAAATCACAGCACAACAAACAATATTCAAACTTCAACCTATTTTAGATTATTAACTTAATTTAAACATGTAATTAACTAATCAAGTTCGCTTTAGCCTATTTAAACTGACTGTTATGCATCTAAAATATTGACCTAACACAGAATTAATAAATTTTAAATCCTAACTAATCTAGAACATGCTAAACATATGGGAAAAACACACTAATAATCAACTATTGATGCAACCTTAAACAGCTATCAATTGATAATTTAGCAAAGTCGACTAGGTATAATTGAAACTAAACTAAACATGTTGTTAATTGAACTAAGACTAATCTATAACATGTAATACAATTAATCAAAACACAAAATATCAATCAATTAGTCAATCAGGCAGTTAAGTAAAGAAGTGAAAAGAAGGATTACCAATAGAAAATAAAACTGCCCGAAAAAGAGATATTCAGCTAACAACCGACATCGCTACATGAGCATTAGCCCACACTCGAAGCGTAGCCAATGCTATACGCGACGATGTATGCCATACACCGGCAAAAGAAAGCAGCATTATGGGACTTTCATGGCAGTGGCCAGATTCTGGTGGTCTGGTATAGGCCAACACTGACTCCAATTGATAAATCTCAACGAGAGTGTTCGATTAGTGTTGGTATGAACCTAAGGTAGGCCGGAATTTGGAAAAACTCGAAATGGTGGTGGATTTAGGTTTTTGTGACTTCTTAGATCTAAAACCTACGGAGTTGTAGGGATTTCTGAAGGAAATGGTTTGGGGATTAGGAATGAGGAGGAGAAGGGGATTGTAGGGTAACGATTTGGGGTCGTTTAGCGACTGCCCGCCGCCGTAGGGCAATTTTCGGCGGCGGCTCTGAGAGAGAGTGAGAGATGAGAGATGAGGGGGGGAAATAAAACTGGTCTTTAAGGTTTTGGGGGTTATTTCGGACAGTTTTATGGGATGGAAAAAACAGTTCCGGTCCGTTAGATCTAGCTTGATGAATGGCTGGGATTGGTTTGGAGTTAAACAGGGTCGTTTAGGTTATGGGGGAACCGGACCGGGTAATGAGAGTGGACTGGAGCGGATTTTTTGTGAATTTTGGGCCTCACCATGAACTGGACCATATGAAATTCAAAGACCCAAACAAACCTACCTCTTTTTGACTTTGTTTTTCTTTGCTTTTAAGTTCTAACCAAGTTAATTAAAATTCTAAATTAAATCCTAACCTAAATCTAATTTGCAAATTTAAACCTACTTACCTATTTTTTAACAATTAACTAATTTAAATAACTAATAACACATGTAATGTTACTAATGTATTTTTGTTGTGATTTTCATGTATTAATTCTACAACTAATAAGTAATTAATTCCTAAAAATGCAATTAAAACCTAAAATGATATAGAATGAAGATTTGAAAATTTTATGGTTTTTCTATGATTTTAAAATATTAAATATGCACAAAAATGCAACTAAATGCAAACAAACAAATAAAGAGCAATTCCTAGAAATTCTACAAAAGATCAAAAATAACTAGAAAACTATTTTTTGTGAATTTTGTAGGACTATTCTTGTAGGGCAAAAAGTACGTGCTCACAACTATTACATCAAGGGTGGACAAATTTGGGGTGCAGTAGCTAAACAAGCTTCATGGATAGTGCAAAAAATTGTAAAGATGCAAAGTTATATCCAGCTAACTGGGATCGTGGAAGAGGACTTAAAAAGCATGACAACCTTCTCAATCAAGAAGATGTATCTAATGATGAGAGGTGACTTTCCAAAAGTACAGTGGAGGAAAATGGTTTGCAACAACTATGGATCTCCCAAATGGTCTTTATCTTCAGAGACTAGCAGCTCATGGGAGATTGCCCACAAAAGATAGATTGATGAACTGGGGAATTGTTGACAATCAAGTATGTCCATTATGTGCTTCCCAGACAGAAAGTATATCCCACATGTTTTTCCAATGAGAAGTTTCTACACATGTATGGAATAGTTTGCTGCGATGGTAACAAATTGCGAGAAAAAATATGAGTTGGCCAGAAGAACTGAAGTGGGCAGAAATTCACGCCAATGGAAGAAGTCCGGGTGCTGAACTCTATAGAATGACCTTGGCAACACGTGTATACCATCTATGGATTGAAAGAAATCAAAGGGTCTTTCAGGCTAAGCATACTGGCCACAGGAACATTGTTAGAAGAATCGTCCAAGAAGTATTCTACCGAGGATCGCAAAGGAGCAGACTAATTAAGGAACTCGATAAGCTGAATTTTTATCCTTAATAGCTTTGTCTGTGGAGAGTAATTAGGGAAGATTGGTTGTTATAGTTGCAAGGAGTGACATGTATTCTTTTTTTTGTTGTTGGGGAGAGAACTCATCCATAGACTTTCCTTGTTATTTGTACTTACTGCCTTTGGTAATAAAATCTTTTATTTACCAATAAAAAAAATGTTGCTTAACTAATTGTTGGATCGTAGAAACCGATTTATTTGAAAGGGTGAAGTAAGATACCTTCTTTTTTTGAATCTAAACATGCAAAAGTTTATGATTCAATTTCAACAGAATGCATGACTTGAATGTTTCATCTTTTTCTTTTAATTCAATTGAATAATGAGTATAAGGCACTAAAATCAAATAACATTAAAATTCAAGCAACTACAAGATAGGAATTAAATGATATTAGAGATTTTAGCTCTTCGTTATCTGTAGCCAAAAGAGCAACCTTTTGTCACCACGATAATTACATCTAATCCAAAATATTACAAGTTTGCTGCATTACAACTTTTATTACGAAAACATGGCAAAAGCCCAATTAAGATACAGCTCTCAAATCTAGTACTGCCTTGATTTGATGAAAAAATCTTTTCAGATATCTGGTTTAAATTTGTTCCAACAAATACAGCAGATGAACTCGTTCATCCATTGGTACTCATTACCGTTACTTCTTTTTCTTCCGAGTGTGCTTCCAGTTCAACATTTTAAGGATAAAAATCACAGTGCAGGAAATATAGAGCTCCGCAACAAACTATAAACTACCTTAGATTTGCATGACGAGTGAATTGCTCAATATTTATTCTTTTACGAATAAAAATGGGATCCACATATGGTATCATCTTGAGTTTGATATTTGCCTCGCTTCTATGTCCTGTAGTCTGAGGGTTACAGCCCTCTTGTGGGCATCCAAACCCTCAACTTCGGCCATTTTCTCTACATAGGGGCCAAGATTCCTCAGCCCTTCTTCTGTTAAAGACTGCACAGTAATGTATTTCAAGAAAGAGTCTAAAGAGACCCCACCATACATCCGTGCATACCCGTAAGTTGGCAGAACATGGTTAGTTCCACTTGCATAATCTCCTACACTCTCAGGTGTCCACTGTCCCATAAATACAGAACCTGCAAGTATTCAGAGTCGATTATTTATAAGTTAGATTGCCAAAGGGAGACATGATTGATTAGAAAGTTGCTATTGATGGTAAAATATGAACCTCCAACCTAACTTTCCTGGTACCCATGTGAACACAGAAGACATCAGAAATAACACATGAACATACATATTTTTGAGCTGTATACTAAAGAGCCCAAGTCGTTACAAACATTATACAGCTTCCACAAGTCGGACAAACAACTTTGACAAAGAAGTTCTGGAAAAAGTAATTGTCACCACTGATCAACACAAGTAGTTGGTGCTTGGCAGTGTGTCAACTTCATAAGGGGGACAAACAAAGTTACACAAATAGACACACACATAAACACGGATCGAAAGGCCAGTAATTCAACATTCATCATACCCTCTTCAAGCTTATGAAATTTCTCTTGATATTTTGAGATTGTTCTCCAGTTTTTACAACAATGAACATTCAGTTGATTTTATAGTAAATGAGTTTGCTTAAATTACTTGCTAAGTCTGTCACTTTTTTTTTTTTTGAAATGGAAATCTGTCACTTTTAACCTGAGGAAGTAGCATCGTCCAATCTCTCAAGAGTTGCAATATAGATCTGTCTCTGTTCGAAAAACCAGGCTCACTCCATAAAATACAATTTCAGCTAACTGTAAGCCATATAAAAAAAGCCTTCTTTCTGATGTAGTTAGGTTATTAGTGTGTAGAAGTTGAGTACTGCAGGGAGTTTTCATTTTTTTGCCTTATCTACGATTTTGTAAATCAGATTTCTTTAAGCCCAGAAGTAAAAAAAATATGTCATGTCTATCATAAGAACCATATTACAAATGGAGACAGCAGTTCCAGCCACCATCAGTAGTGAATTTCTTTTAGAGCTTATCCGAGGAACCCAAGCGGACTGAAATAACCATGCCAAAGAAAAAAAAAAGGCTAGTCAACTACGCCATCTAATAGAAATGACGGTGTATTCAACTCCCTACCGAGAAAGGAGATGGCATAGATCACTAGTGAAGAAACTTGTCCGCCTTGCCAATGGCTAGCCAACCTGACCCTTCTACTTGACATCTTGCAGAGCTAAATCATAGAATTTGAAGGAATAAAAGGGAAAAAACTATCAACCTTATACAGTCAAGTGCTGAGATAATAACATTACGTGTTCAATACACGCACACCCTTAAACCACAAAAATTAGGCATAGAGATTAAAGACGTCAATAGACAAAAAAAATACCACAAGACTAATGTATTAACCAGCTGGATGGTGAAGACAAGGAAAAAATAGAAAATGAAACAGAAATCTCTAGTAAAATGCTGTTAAACTGTATGGAGAAGCTGTGTTATATGGAGAATCACAAAGGGCAGGACAGAAAACTCACTAAAAGGAATATAAAGATAAGAAGAATAAAGATGAAGATATTACCCACTGTATATCACACATTAACATTGCTAAAATAGAGAGAAGCTTGAGGAAAATATTTCATGGATACATCACAATCGGCGACCCCAATAGCCAAAACAAACTAACAGAAGAGTAGATATGTCAAATGGAAAAGGTAAAACTTAGCAAACACTTAAAGTACCTGCATTCTCAATTAAACTTTCCCACTTCTCAGCTTCATTCACATTGATTATCAGATGCTCAGGTGCATACATGTTTGAGAAGGAAATTGCCTGAAAAAGATTGTGATTCAAGTCCACGAGATAAAGCCTATAGCTGGCAGAGAAATTTACAAGGAAATTGCATCCACATTGATGATAATTCAATTTTTTTAAACATGTTTCAGGCAGAATTATATAATGACAGCAAGCACACATTCAACTGTATCCAAATTACTGCCAGCCAAGATCGACAAACATACCTCAAGCATATCTCGTGCTAACACAGTGAAGCTGTGGCTAAGTGCCTGAAGTGCAAATTCGCCCCTTGGAAGGGCTTGGCACTGCTTCCTAATTTCCTCTTGAATAGCATTTAGATCAACACCATCTCCAGCAATAACCAGTACGACTTGGCTATCTGGCCCATGCTCTGCCTGAAAATTGCATTTGAGGTGATAAGCTTTTGCCATGAACAATAGGAATTATAGAAAGTTTCAGTTCAATCTGTGTTAACAATTAATCTCCTTCACTACGAAATCCATAAATCTTCTTATTTTGATATCAGAAGAGACATAAGCACTACTAATGTGAAATAAAAAGAGCACCAGATTCAGACACAGAATGTAGGGAGGAAAACATAATCAAGCAGTGCGAAGTGGAGCTAATACCTGTGAAAGTAAATCTGCTGCCACATGAACAGGACTGGAATGCTTGTCAGCTATAACAAGGACTTCTGAAGGCCCAGCTGGCATGTCGATTGAAACCATAGCTTCGCTGTTCTGTTGAGAGAGAGTACTATTGAGCAAAAGACAACTGGAGGTGAGGAGAATAGCCTTTTGGCAGCGTATTTGTTTCAAGTGAAATTTATTTACAATGCTGATATCCCTAACCTAAGATTGCCTCTTACTTGAAACCAATACCTGCAGAATCATTTTTGCAGCGGTGACATACTGGTTCCCAGGCCCATATATCTTCTCAACCTGGCATAGATGGTAATGTACATAATGCTTCCCCTTTATATATTGTCAAAATAAGAAAAGGAGAGTTCGACTGTAAAATGCATGCCATGTTTAGGAAAACAGAAATCCAAAGGCCAATATGAAAGGAAATCCACTTCATTAAGATATCTACAAGTTAACCACAGGCTTCAAGGACACCCAGGGTAGTAGCCTTACAGATGTACAGAACAGATACAATGTGTCTGCTAAAACATGCCATAATTACTTTCCTTTTGTAAGAAAAATAACCAATGTAACAATAAGGATCAACTTTCACTGTACACAGGGGAATCTTCCTTGATATATATTCTGATTAGTGATTGCAATCATAATAAAAATATAAATTTTCGGCCAAGAATCACAAAACTTTTATTAAAAAAAAGAAACAAGAAACTAAGTCCATGTTATCTTGTCTTCCTCGTCGTTTTCTACTATGTATTGAAATATGTTTTCTATAGAAAATCTTTGACGTCTTCCTATTCACAGTTCTATTTGGCCCTCCTAACCGAGAGATCTCCAGTGAGTTATCTAACCCAACTCCAATAGGGCTCACAGGTTTGAAAATAAGGGAAGTATAAACTCATCCCTACACCCTGCTTCTACCGAAATACCAGACTTCAGTCAACAGAATGGTTCGAACTCGTGACGTGCACCTAACCCACACTTCATAATTGTGTACCAAAGGCCTGAAGCGAGATTGGTTCCTTTAGTAATAACAATTCAGCGCATGCCTATTTAATCAAAGCTCGTGCTTCGATTACCGTTCCTGCCTAGACATCAATGTCCCTACTTCAAGCAATAGCAAAGACATCGTGTTTTAAAGGAAATATGAACTGATGAAAAGGATGCATAGATTCTTTTCCATCAACCCCTGTCCAATTATTAAAGTTATACTTTTTGCATGAATAAAACAACTATGGCCGAATCCTAAACTAATTAGGATCATCTATATGAAGGTTCACTATTCGTGTGTCATTGCAAGAATACTCTAGAAATATTACATGCACGTCTACTCCAGGATTAATTGCCTGAAAGTACTCATGTTAATAACATTTATTCTGTGTTGCGTGCATAAGCTCAGCAAAGCAATAGAAGTATACTAGTGCTTGTATGATACAATATGCCAGGCTTCAATTTTTAAGGTGAAAATTGTACCTTTGGGCAGGATTCAGTGCCCCAGGCCATAGCAGAAATTGCCTGTGGATTTTAAAA